ATACATTTTCATCACGATCCTCCACGTCCCCAGACTCCCATCGGTCAACATCATGGCTCGCAATCATGTGACCATTATCTAACAAATGAACAATAGTCGTTGTTCCAGCCTGACCCCTTCCCACAAAATCATCATCATGATTCAAGTATATGTATACAGTAATAGCATAAAAGAACAGACATGGAGATCAAAGATGCGCCTCGTCCCCTGAAAGATGTTGATCATGATCAAGCAATCTCAGATTCTACTGACGGGGACTTTGATGTGGTGGGCGGTGCTACTGCACAGGAAGTGGGATGAAATTATCTACATTCTCTAAAAGCCACAAAAGCCAGAAAATAATGAGCAGATTAATCAAAGATGCCATTTTAGGATGTCTCATATTTGGGTCATTGAGACATTGCGTGCAAAGGTAGAGCTTATAATACACATGGTGGGCGAATGATTCTGGATGTTTTGGGATCATTTGGATTTTCATGAAAGAAAAAAAGAGCAAACATAAAAGAATATTGTGAATGTCTTATTTTCACTGTTTGACATTTTCATAACAGATAGATCAAAGGTCAGGAACACAATCTTGAATTTTTAAACTGTGATGCTTTTTCCCAATTAATTTTGTCTAAGAAAAAAGCAAAAGATTATTTTATTTCAGTTTAGACCTTACTGAAGAGATACAGAAGCTCACCTTCATAAAGTGATATACAACTTGAGGTTCAGGTTCCTGGACATCTTATATGTTTTTTATGCTTTGGGACATTTAAACATAGAAGCAGAGAAATGACTTTATTGCACATCAAGTTAATTGTTTTTGTACAATAAAAGTGTAAAAAAAATTTGATAAACATAAGAAGTTCACTGTGCGATTCCAGCTATAATATCATTAGCATGTGTTTATGTACAGCTATCAAATAGTGTAGGTACCAGGTGACAGTGTTGTATATAATGCTCAAAAAATTACTACACATTTTGGATTTGGCTTATTTATATATATTGAATAAATTCAAATAAAAGAATCTAATTATGTAATTGCATTTCAGAAATGGTACATTCATAGAAAGCACGCATGATTCAAGCATGAACACCAAAAGGAAACTTCAAAGAACTTATTTTTTATTAATCACAACCTTCAACCATTCCAAAATATCATAATTTAAGTTTCTATATATTTAAATTTTCATGAATAAAGTAATACATATATGTTCTTACATGTAATTAATCATTAGTACTGTAGCTCTTAAAATTCTGATCAATTCCCAACCTAATCTTTGATAATTGTCAAGGTGGCTTTGTCCTCTTAACCAAGCCAACCAAAGTCAATACAGTTGGATACCTTGCCAAATAGGTCATGTGCACTCACATTCAGGTGATGTTAAGGTGAGCTAACAATGACAGATGAAACAGATATTCGCGAGAAATTCTTGAGTCGAGCTGATGAATACATTTCTATGTATAAAGAACTGCATATGAAAATTTCTTTTTTTCATCAAAATCCCAATTACACCAAACAGAAACTCCATCTCTATTAAAAAGAAATCCAGTGCAGAGATATAACCTTTGTTCAGTGCCAAAAGATCGAACTCAGTGACAAAGGCCAACACAAACATGTGTTGGTGAGGTTAATCATGACATTGCAGGATCTACTGGTCTACTGGTCTACTGGTCCATGACCTGCTAGGCTCAAAACATGACATCAACATCCGACAGATTCAAGTCAATATCTGGCACAATACCTCAGACATGAGGGTCACAATACCTCAAAACGGAGGGTCTTCAGAGCATGGAGATCAATATGTAATTGCAGTCTTCATCAAATGATCATGTCAGACAAAATACTGAATGACAAAGAAGGAAGAGCTCAATCAAAATCAAACCGAAAATGCTCCATTGACATGGTTACCGACCTGTCAAAATACACCGACCATCACCAATGCTTACGTAGCGTGTCGAGGGAACCATGACTTTCAGAAGAGAAACAAGACAAGGCAATTTATAATCCTTGTGTCACTGGTTAATTCCTGTATCTTCTACTTCCGCACCACAGGGCCACCGGCTTCCATCCGTACATCAATCACTGTCATCACATGCAGCGCTGTGACAATCAATTTCCAGGACGAGAAACAAGGGATCTAACTTGTTGTTTTCCAGTTCATTTACATACTGCTCAGTCTTCCAAGGAAGGAAGTCTGTTCTAACATCTCTGAAGTTCTATATTCGTAATTGATTTGTGTTTTCTGTATCATTGGGTACTCGTGGATGTACAAGTTTCTCCTCCCAGAGGAGGAAACAAGCATGTCTTTGGAAAACTCCATCTGTCATATGAAATATATTGTTTGACAGCATCAGAAAACCAGATTAGCTATGGGCTAGTAACAATTACTAGTTCTGCACAGATAACCAATATCGAAACAAGTCCAGTTTCTAATGATAATCATTTGTGGTATGAACAATGTTGTTTTGCCAAACCAAATCACATCAGGACACCAATTTGCACCCATGAGATAACCAAGATTAAAAAAACACCTACTGCTATTAAATTGGGGTTTTTCGTGGGTTTTTTGTTTGTTTTTTTTGGTTTTTGTTTGGTTTTTGTTTGGTTTTATTTGCTGCTATTTGATTGCTTGTGCTTCCATGCCTTCTGCTTCTGGTCTTCTCTACATTATTATTTAGAAACTCTGTATAACTATGATATCTGATCTGTCCATGCTACAAACATGCCAATAATGTCACAATAAATCCATGCACACTCTATGTATGATACTGAAATGTAAAATATGATGGGAAATGGAATAAAAAAATAATTTAAAAAATAAATTGTTTGTAATTATCTTTGTAATGAAATAGTGTTTCAGTAACCATAAAAAAAGTCAGATTCACATAAAGAAAATTTCATCACCAACTATACCCATTGCAAAAATCCTCAAAAAGCACAAAGCATGTTGTAAAAATAAAAAAAACGAAACACATAATGACGATTCCTGACACAAGGTATGAGTATCATCAGGAAATGTCATCACAAATAGTGTTGCTTACAACAATATTATCACTCACACATACAATAACATTTCTTACACCACGCCATTATCTCTTGTCTTTGATCAAACATGGCCAAATTCTGATCATTTTGTGATATCAGCCAAAGGTCTCTTGCTACATTAAAGATCAATCAGAATGCCAGTTACAATACAGTCTCAATGTTTGGTTGCAGATATCAACAACATGTCTGCCAGTCCCACTGACTAGGATAGAGTTTGCGAGATATTTAACATTGAAAAACTAACAGACACACGGAAAGAGGGCCCTAAAAAATCTTTTTGATGGAAAGGACGTCTTCATGTCCAGGAAAACTGGCAGTAGCTTTGGTTTCTCGACAATACAAGGTATATCCCTTACACATTTTAGTTTTCCTTATGCTGACGTTTGATTGGTCGGTAAAATGTTAATGAAAATCAAGGCTGGATAATTTGAGATTGTGAGAGCCACGGGGATGGATTCAGAGGTTAGAGAAGGTTTACCGAAATGCACGCCCTTGAGATATAGACGATGGCAAATGCCATGTCCCATACAAAAGATAGTAATATTATATGATGCGTTCCGTATCTCTTGGTAATAAACTGATTTTACTGTAATTCTCAAAATCCTCTAGACATGTATTCCTCAGAACATACATTGTTATTTGCACAGATCTGAAGTCTTCCACAAGAAACAGCAAGAACAAATTATTGACCTTTCTTCCACACTATTTCTTAGAATGTAAAGTTTTCCTTCAACAAACAGCAAGAAGAAATCATGAAACTTTTTTCATGCTATTTCTCTGAACTTTCTATTTCTCTAAAGTTTTATTTCTTGTTTAGTGGACAAACCAAACAGATTTTGCAGAGGAAAAAAAAGAGAAGGAAATTTGAAAAGCTAAATTTCAAAGAAAGTAAGCTGACGTCATACGAGTTGGTCTTGCTTGAAATTATTATCTTTTCCAAGCTTCCGATTTTCCAGGAATGAACCGATATTTGAGTGTGTGTAATAATTAGAGAAAAACCTATAAGAATTACAGATTGAGGATCCCAACTCTTTCAATTTTGTAATGTGGACTTTCAGCATTGATATACAAGGGGGAAATACTTAGCAATTTCTCAGAGCTTATATGTCAATCATCATACCCATTTTGCACAAGAAAATGTTGGAAATTGCACATTTCCCAATCACAAGTCTGAATCAGCTCAGTCGATCTATTGTTGGAAGACATCATGTCAAGTCTTCTATGATCAATGAATGATATAAATTTCAAATGTTGGTGACAATGCACTGCTGACATCATTTGGATAAGGGCTGCTAGGTAAACAATTGAACAAGTGTCATGAGCCAGCCAATCAGTGTGAAGTAAAACTAATCATGCTCAGAGATTTACTGAGAATAATTCCAATGATGTCCCCATGAATAATAATTATTCTTGCTTTAAACCACATCAGCAACTTTGCAACTATTCACAACAACTAAGTCAATCTGTGATACAGGATTGGAGCAGGTCATCAAGTTTTATAATCCATTACTATGCTACTCAAAACGCCGCTTAATGTGGGAGGAAAGCCTGAAGTGATGCAGGTCTCAGACGTTTACCACTTTGGTGAAACCCACGAACACGGGTATGGTGCTGACAAACCTAGAAACATAATCGGGGCGAACCGGGATTCGAACCCACTATCATAGGTTTCTGGCGTGCCAAAGGGACGCAGCTCTGCACAGCGAATCGCTGCGCCTTGGACGACTGGGCCACCCGTGCCCCGCTACTCAAAAGAAATTAAGGACCATCTAAATCTTTCATATTACAATAGTCAAACTGTCAAGACATGACAGATTAACTACAGTCAATATGAAAAAAATTGAGTGGTCCTGAACTTCTTTGGAGTAGTATATTACTGAAGACATACGCCATATTCATAATCAACCTTACTCCAGAAAAAACAAAAATAAGCTGGAAAAGCCTGGTATATACCAATTCAACTTACCATGTATCTGGACAGGGGATTTCTTCAGAAAACCACAGAACATGAAATCTGAAACAGATATATAATTAACACATAAACAATGTGCTAAATAAGTTCTATAATTGAATTATGATCTAATGTTAATACATAACAGTAACGGAAGCCACTATGGATGATCTAAATGATCTGCCATTTTCAACAGTACATGCATGTCTCTTATGTCAGATATCATGTCCTGGAGAGTGAGTGAGTGAGTGAATATGGTTTTACGCCGCTTTTAGCAATATTCCAGCAATATCACGGCGGGGGACACCAGAAATGGGCTTCACACATTGTACCCATGTCGGGAATCGAACCCGGGTCTTCGGCGTGACGAGCGAACGCTTTAACCACTAGGCTACCCGACCGCCCCTGTCCTGGAGAGCAGAAGGTTGGTGGTTCCATCTCTGTCTGTGTCATGTCAAGAGATGCTACAAGATTGTACTTGTTGTTACCCTTCTTGGAGCTTGGCATAAAGTGCTAAAACAAGGACTGGTCAGCTCGGAGTCAGTATACTGTGTCTGAGTGGAGTAGCAATGTTTAACTTTGCATGGTATCTCAGTGTGCTAACACTATAAAACAACAATTAGTCCGGACAAGTGCAAGCAGCCATCATTTGAAGTAAAAGTTTCACAAAAACTACTGTTGAAACAAACTGATCAAATTACAGCATATTTTCAATCATACATTTAAATTTTTAATCTTCAATATAAGAAAGACATTTGTTACTACTAAACATACAGAAAATTATATTACATTTTGAACAATAACAATTTGGTGAGAGACACAAAAGGTTTTTCAATATTGGCTGCTGTGGTGGCCACACTGAAAATCAATGATGAAACCCTTGAACAAACTGGGGTTGTCACTATTTGGTGGAAAAAAGCATGTTTAGTTTCAGCTTAACTGATCCTGGGGTTTCTGAGGAAATGATGCTAACAACACACAATGGACAACTTTCAGTCAAGTTAAAAATATATATTATATTCTTATCATTAATTCTTTTAAACAAGCTATCAAAGAATCTGTGTATATTAACAGTATTGTTTGAATGTACATGGGGACAATAAAATAATTGAGACAGGTGGAGCTGAAATCTGATAACTCATTTGTCCTTGCCTAATGGGATGATAATGGGCACACGTCACAGGTACCAGACAGACATAAAGTTGACATCTAACCTGCGATAGTGGATCTCACATCACATCCTCACTGAACACATCTATCACTGCTTGGAGAATATTAATAACATGACAACAAATGTACATAGTGTTAACGTTTCTTATAAAAAGGCCTTTTTCAAATATTTGTATGTTTTGCCCAAAAGAAATTATCAAAGAAGAAACAATTCAAGATTTCAAGTCGTGACACCGAATATTTGAAACAGTTGAAACACAAAGCTGACTTCAACTGGGCAATATAATACTGCGTGATAGTGTTATAATGCATGTGTCACACCTTTCTTCAGTTCTGGTGATGAAAACTTTACAGTTCTTTGCACTTTGTTGTAAACAAGTTTAAATTCTTTTGATTCCAGAGATATTGGTCCCTTGAGTATTTGTCTTATCCAGAATTGATATGATTTCCCGAGGAGTATTTATTCAATGGACCATTATGATTTTGTCTTAGATCTTTCTTTCAAAATTAATGACATAAAACATTTTTGGACCTTAATAATCATATTAAATCCAGGAAATTTGAAGTGTAATGCAATACCAAATCTTAAACTCGAGGAACCAGAGAGTTGACTGTAAGCACTGCTGGTCCATGCTATTTGAAATTTAATTATTACAAATGCCACTACTGATTGATCAGATACAGGGTTTAACTATCGTTCAGCAATCCTATTGCTCATACTGTCCATGGGAGCAGATGAAAAAGAAATTGGAAATTGTTATTTGCACAGAAGTTGATGGTATAGATCTCCTTACCAAAGTAGATCGGATATCCATGATATGTCTGTTCCTGCTTCTCTGTTCCTGTTAAGTGAGGTTAGGTGAAATTGAGTTTTAATGTCGTGTGAAATTTTGTATCATTTAGGCTTAAAAAAATAAAAGAATTGGTTCTCAGGCAATGGTTTTTGAAAATATAGTGAGGGCGGGCGGTGTCTTTTTTTCTTTTTTTCTTTAATTTTTTTGGGGGGGCGTGTTCAAACTAGTATGTAACCAATAAACAGTTGTGTAATCAATCAACAATTGTGTACAATCAATCTAGGAAAGGGTCTCTCTACATTAATGTATTCCTTGGTGTGTGTAAAATACTGGAATACAGTATTTGATTACCGTTGGACATGGAATATTTACAGATTTAAAAAAAATAAATTTAAATGGAAATAGAAATGAAATGTGCAGTGAACTTTATGATGATGTGGGTGGTGCCTGAGAACCAAGACTATTTTTTTTTAAGCCTTATAGATAGCAACATGTGTGTATGCGTGTGCATCCGTTTGTACTAGTCTGGACTTATCCCAGTTCCTTAGTGCTCCACTCAGACAGTATTATTATTGACTCCGAGCTGGCCAGTCTTTGTTTTATCCCCTTAATGCCGAGCACCAGGCAGGGCAACAACAAGTTCCGTGGCCTCTCACTGTTAAGGGCAGATGTAATGAAGTTTCCTTCAAAATAGATACGGCCGGTGGTGTAGCCTAGTTGTTAAAGAATTCGCTGTCAAAGGCCGTCTGGCAATGATTCTGCTAAAATATTGCTAAAAGCAGGGTTAAACAAAACTCCCTCACTCACTCAGAATAGATAACAGAAACATCTGCTTTACTGGTAGAACAGAGAAATCTTTTCAAATATATATACAGTTAACTATGTTTAAACAAACATGCTCATAATGTACTGATGGATATAACAAACTGTTGTTTTTTTGTCCTGTCCATTTGCTGTATAAATGCTTATAACCAACTACTGTTATAATGAACTAAAATTAGTGGTTCCTTTGAGTTCATAATAACCACAGTTTACCGTACTCTCACAAAATAAGTCTTAATAAATATGGAGCTTTAGAGATCTTTGGGTAAGATTATGCTTACCATAGATACTTCAAAGACCTTTAAATCTCTTTCTATTCACACATGATACACATTTATTACTTGCCCATGAATAGATCACCCATTTAATAAACATACAACTGTATTAAACATTGTGTAATACCAAAGCGCGTGCTCATGAACTGCAGGAACATGTTTCATGAACAGATATAGCAAGCTTTCAACATCCCTTGGCTTAGTCAACCACATTGCATGTGGAGATGATAGATCACTGAGAGGAACTTATGCACACTCAATGACTCCAGCAACCCTGTTGCTAGGCTGACATCACGTGGCATTGTTTCGCCTTGCAACAAAATTCCACAAATTACATCATTAGTGTATTGTCAGTGATTGTTAACTTTGTAGTGCAGGGCCCCGTTCTACAAGGTGATCGTACTGTAGTGCAAGGACAGTCGTAAGTCTATGTTAAAGTATGTGAGTTACGATAACCTTAGCGCTACAATAACTTTGTGGAACGGAGGCCTGAGTTCTAAAGGTGGCCGGGTTGTTGTATGGTATTAAATGTGTCAACTTTTGATGTAATTGAAGTATTACTCTGTTCCAATTCAATTGTATTATGCTGTGGATCATGCAGGTGTCTGCCTATTCACACACCACAGTTAAATTCTAAAAAAGTTATGAATGGAAAGTTATAAATAAAATACTAATGTAATACCAATTTTATGAAACTTGTGAATAGCTCTAGTATCTGACCTGCTTTCACTCGACGGTTACCAGAACTATTCACTCGTTACATAAAATCAGTATTACACAGGAGCTTGTTTAATATTCCATATATACACACTATGAAGCCTATACCACTTGACATCTAATATTAAACAAAAGGTGTTTGCAACAACAGCTAGAAGCAACCCCTTCACAACATTTCCTTCAAATCCCCCAATGATAACTCAGCACCCTGCACTTCCAGTTCTATGACATTATTTCCACTTTGGGGAAACGCAAGAACTACAGACCATGCTCCAATCAGAGAGAACCATGCCTGAAGCTGGCCGAATAAGAAAGATGTATGTACTTTCTTAGCTCATAAAGGTTCTTGCATCTTTACGTCTGTAAGTCAACCCTACTTCATTGACCCTTCACATTGACATGACATGTGCTAATAGAAATCCCTAGGGCCATTTGAAAGAAGTCAATGGAAGGATATCCTCCACTATCAATAATCATGTGAAAGGCAACTGGTATAAATCAGACAGCAGCAGTCAAATTCGGACAACTTTTTCACAAATGTCACGTTTTCCCTGTTGGGATTTGTTGAGAATTCTTAATCAAGGCTTAAACCTTACTTTTTATGTAAAGAATTCCAGATACAAACAAAAAATGATTTTGGTCAATTCCTAATGGCAATGCAGGAGTGAGTGAGTTGGGTATGACGCCACTTTGAACAGTATTCCTGTTCTATCTTGGCAGGAGGAGTCTCAAGTGAGTGATGCAGGTCTCAAACGTTTACCGCTTTGTTGAAACCCATGAGCATGGTATAGTGCTGACAAACCTACAAACATAATCAGGGTGAACACGGAGTCAAAGCCATAATCATAGTTTCCTGTCATGCCCAAGGGATGCAACTCTGCACAGCGAAGTGAGCGCATGTGATGACAAAGGACACCTTTGCTTCCAGCATGGCATGAATGAGAGGATGATGCATGATCAGTGAATGTATGAAAGCATGAATGAGTACTGAAGGTGTATCTCTATGAATGACTAATGAGTGGCCATGGATGCATGAGTTAGTGAGTGAGTTGCTTTTAACGCCGCTTTGAGCAGTTTTTCAGTTATATATGTCATGCGGGAAGAAGGCCTAAAATAATGCAGGTGTTACACGTTTGGTAAATCCCATGACCACAGGTTGGTGCTGACAAACCTAGAAACAAATCTGGAATTCCAACTCATGATCAAAGGTTTCTGGCACAGCAAATTATGGTACCTTCGACAACTTGGAGTGAGTGAGTGAGTGAGTGAGTGAGTGAGTGAGTGA